ACCTCAAGGCATTTTGTGAAATCGCTCATGTCTCAGTTTTAGGTCATTTTGGTGCTGGTTGACAGAGTCTGAAAGTCTGGAGCAAGTGTAAGACGAGTAAATCAATTGCAATACACAAACTTAGCTTTGAGAGTCACTGTCCCATAAGGTTCTCCATCTAGTCTTCCCCCATCTTTAAGCATTAATGATAGTTTGTTTAGGATTTGAGAGAGGAGATAACCAGTCTTCACTTAAATCTTTCTATTTAAGAAATAGAGAAAAAAAAACTCCTGCGGAAGGTTTCATTGTATTCAGTTCTTAAATAACCTTCAAGAAATGCAGGCTCACAATACCATTATTTTTTGGTTATTTCTTTACTAGTAACCTAAAGAGTTTAAGTAACCAACATTAGGTTAAAATTAACACTCAGTGTAAGAGATGATACAATGCAATAGTTTGTATGCATGTTTAGTAGACCTACAGGATAACCTAGAGAAAGACGTAACACAATTGTTTTTAATGGATGATTTCTTTTTTTTAATAGAACATGAAAAGTTTCCAATTCAGTTGTCTCATATACCAGGCCTGACTCTGTTGCTCTTTGTAATTGGATTCCATTTGGTTTATTCTCCCTCCACAAAGACAGCCATTAACTCCTGTAAATCATGGGCACATTGGTACACATCTGAATAATCTGGGAAAGATGGGATTATCAGATTCAAAATGCACACAGACAGCTCTCACGGATGCCTTCCCCTCCCCTTCAAATTGCCCATTCTGTCTGATTGGATATGTCAGAAAATAAAATGTGTCAGTGTTGCCCACAGAACCTGAAAATGAGACTCAACAGCTCATCATTCCGTGCTGTGAATTAGAAAAACAAAACAAATAATTGTGGGACCTCAGATATACTGTATAGTGCTCCTTTAGTGCTAAAGTATGAAAATACAAACGAACAGATTCACTGGATTCTATTTTGCTGTAAACACTAAGTCTGTTAAAAGCTCAGTCTTAAAATAGCATTATAAAAATATATAATCGTGACATACATGTATATCACTGACTTGAGTATAAAATTAATAATTAACTATAATAATTTCTTGAATTAACATAGACCTTTTCATCCCAAAGAAAGCCCGAAACACTTTATATACAGAAATACTCCACTATAGTGCAGTACTCACCTAGTTGATGCACACCAGGAGACCCACCACACAGCAGATTAAGGGGAGAAATGAGAAATGATGGTAGTTCATTGACTGAATTGATTGAATTGAGGGGGATAGTTTTTGGTAGGCATGATTTTGCAGCCCAGAGTGGGATTTAGTCACAAAACCAAGGTCGATATCCCTAGTCGGATGAGTGGTACCATATAATTTTAATGACTACATTCTTAGGACCTCAGTGTAACGTTTCATTTGAAGAATGGAGTCTCCAGTGCCTCCTGTTTGCATACTAAAGCCCTGGATTTGGAATTCTGCTCCAGAAGAAAGAGGGCCACCTACTCGTCCCCCAACAATACTTACATGAGCATCCTGGTTCTTCAAAGGTCTCAGATCACATTTCTGAACACACCCAAACATACACTATATACTGTATATCGCTGGCTTGGACCATGCAAACAGTACATCATGATCAAGCCATCACTTTAAGCTGTGTCCAATGCTGTGTATTGCTAATATACAATACATTGGGAAGTATTCCATTTGAACCCATTTGTATGGAATCCAAATTTTATTGTGCAGTTTTAATTTTTTTTTGACTGACATTTTTTCCAACAGGCTAGCTAGCTTCGTGAGCACATTGCCATGCCAGCAACTTTCTACAGTAATCGAGAAATGCTACTATGGTACTGTATTTCTTGCTCTTAGTACGACAGAGGGCCAGGAACTAATCCATTTAAAATGACATGGACACAATGAGCTGTGGCTCACGTTGGCCAGAGCATTATACAGGTAAATAGAAAAGAGTGTGGATAAATTACTAATAAGAAATTCATTGAACAGCGAGTTGTTTATGTGCACCACTTAAGAGATTGAGGGGCTCCACTTGCACTCTAAAGACACTTGTGACTGACACGCAGTGGCTTTACAGACCAGCTAGCTGAGACATACCAGTTTTTGAAGAGCATTTGTATCATTAATCACAATGACATTGTGCACTATGTTTCTTGTGTGCAGTGTGATATACTGTAGTCGCACCGGGAACAAACTTGAAGATCAGATCCATTACTGTAACCCTTATTGATTACTTGACAGAGAACTGCAATGGCTTTGAACTCAAAGGCTATCTGCTATGTCATTGCACAGCTGTATTTCACGATGGATTGTCATCTCCATATCCAAATAGAATCTCCCATCAGTGGAACACGCAGGTTGGGTTTGGCTCTGTATATGCTGACGCACTGAATAGTACAGCAGAGGTTTTTCCTTATCAGCAGCTGTTGGCCAGTCAGCTCCTGTAGTCAAGGTTTTGATCATTTCTTTAGGGTAGAACACAGTAAGTCAATGACAGAGCTGGGGCTTGAACCCTGAACCTTTTGGTAACAACCCACTTTCAATCACCACCTGTTGCCCCTATATTTTGAAGCTGTGTCACAAACGCTTGGCTTCCTCAAAATGCTAGGGTGCCTCTTATACAGTATACTGTGGAAGTGCATATTACTGCAAGACCGTATCACTCATATTCTTGAAACTGCAGTAGTTGCTCCAGTTTTCTGTGAAACCTAAAAATAATCAGGTGATGTAGCCCTGTTGAATTCCATTACACAGGGAAACAATTGAACAGCACCCTTCTCTGATAGCTGTTGCCTGCTTTGTTTACAACCTGAAAGGAACAAAAACCTCTTATAATTGTTCGATTGTTTTCTTTGGACTCATCGAGATTTAAAGATGTTGTTTTATCTCCTTTTGTTTTGTGCGTGCTGGTTTCTAAAGGGCTTGGGAAGAACATAAATTGCAATTAAATTATTCATTCAAATTAGTGTTTGGTATTTGGTATAGAAAGATTTATATCTGTATCACAGTTATTGATGAATATTTATGTTTAGGACAAGCTCAATGTGTGTAACAAAATGGGGAATGCCAATTACTGCTCATTAGCTCATTAACAATGGACACAATTCTGTGGGTTTGTATGAAGTCTTACAGAACTCAGCACTCCGCACGCAGCACCAAAATGAGAATAAGACAGATGATGCCAGAAAATCTGAGAATGCACAGTAGGAGCAGATGGATTCTGTGGATGGAATATTATGTGTGGGGCAAACCTAAGGATGTACCCGAGCATCATGGCAACACCACTCTGTCAGAAACAAAGAACAGAGACAAGTGGACTCAGAAATCCTGAAGGTCCTGTTTAAAAATACATACATGTTTATATATAAACAGCCACATATAGTACATCAAGTCAGGAGCTGCGTCAGCATGCGTAGGCTGCAAAGGAGCATATAAAGGTTTATTCCATGCCTGAAAGAGAAGAAAGGAAACACAACGTTTCAGCTGTGGAGCCTTCTTCGGGTGTGTACATGTAAAAGCCTAGATTTAATTACAACCTGTGAGAATGAAATCATGCTCAGCAAACAAGGAGGTGGGTATCAATGAATGATATTTTGCAAACAATGCTCATTCCACTTTAGAAATTCGTGAATAACCTTGTGTAAATATGAGGAACACGCTACAAAGTAAGGTACTGTATTCTGAGGCAAATGTATACATGCTGTACCATGGACAGTAGCTCATCGAACATTTAATAAGACTGTAACAATATTCTATTTAAAATCCGTGTTTAGGTGGAAATGTGTCTTTATCTAGCGCCACGGGGTCTGCACAGCGTGCACACGGCCGTACAGAACTGACAGCATCCGGCAGTGCAGTAGTTATGGCAGGCACAAGTAGGACATGTGCGTTTCCCATTTCATCTGCTAAACCGAGGTGCTGTAGCCCACCATGCAAAATACTATTTTAAAATACAGTAAGACTCTTGGGACATTCCTGACGCGGTACAATTGCGATGTTAACTCTCGTCCTTAAACACTTTGCTTTCGTAAAGAGTCCTCATCACACTTTTATGTAGTACAAAAATGTTATACCAATGACCGTTTCCGTACAGTCTAGAGGTAAAATGTTGCACGGAGACTATAGGACTGGCACCGATTGAATTAAGCAGGCAGGCCTTCGGCAAAGGTTCCAGGGCATGTGCCGTGCGTGGTGTGCGATGGTTTACGTGTTGGTGTGTGTGTGTGAGAGAGAGAAATTGAGAGAGTCGTTTGATTAGATGCTCGGAAAGCAACATACTCGGGCCTTTGGGTTTTGGCAGCAAGACGCGCTCGTGTGGGTGGCTTCGAGGAAATGGCTCGTGCTCGCCATCTAGTTTTCTTATTTGTTTCTGTTGATTCCCGATGTCGGAGCTTGTGATATTTTGGGAATTGCAGCAGCAGCACGAGTTAGCTCTACCGAGTACGCATCAGCGAGCACAGCGCCTCCTGTCACTTCAGCTGTTACCCTGAGGAGTTTTTATTGGATTGGTAACAAAAAGGCCCGGCCGGTAACACTAACTTCGAAAACATTGAATTTCTTCAAAAAGACAACATCATCATTATTTACATCATGAATCTTCTATGCCAAATCTGTACCACCGTTATGTGTGGGATGAAATCAAACTAAGAATAGAGTTGAACGACATGCCGCAAATTCGCCTTTCACTCTGTAAAGATGTTGTCAACGTCTTCTTGTTTTATAACTTGGGCGAACAAATCCGTGTTAATGGACTGGCATTTCTGTGTGCCGTCAACAGCGGAGTACCGTGTGAATGCTGGCACGGCCCGCCTTTCTAGGAAATTATTATAATTATCTCGATGTTGTCCCTAAAATTATTTTGCAGCCCGTGTTTATTTGATTCAGGTTCTCAGAAATAACCTGTTTGTAGACGCGCAAAGACTGGTAGCTAGGCAATTTGATTTTCTTTTCGGTTTACATACATGTAGCATCTGCAATGCCAGACATTTAAGCCACCGTCAGTAAAATGCGTAAACGGGATAATGTCATATATTGAAAGAGAAGAGGTTAACTTATTGCTAACTTATTAATATTTCGACAGTTCCCCTTTAAAAAGTGGCTCATTCGTGTCATTGTTCCCTGTTTTATTTGGTACCATAAGGTGTGTGTGTGAGGGGTGTGTGTGTGCTTGTGTGTGCGGTATTAACATGCGATTATTACACAGCGCTCTTCCTACTTGTTTGGTTAGAGACTGTCGGTTTTGCGCTTATGTCAGGACGTCTCTCCCCTTACAGCTTAACTGAACGGCGGCGCCGTCCGTCGCAGAAACAGCCTTGACACGGTTAATCGGACGCTTTCTTCAGGAGTGGATAACTACAGAAAGGGATCGATACAACTGGCTCCTACAAGGGACTATTCCTGACGCAGAAGAACTGGGGCACAATTCACTCCTCGCTTGTCTGTGTTGAGAGGCGAGGGGAGAGGAGCGTGAGAGAAGGTGCAACTTGGACAATAGCGAGGATACAGACGGGGAATAGCTGGGAGAGTAGCCCTCCTCTCTGGAAGACTACTACCGGAGACCCAGTCGTATTATGGAATCGAGGTATAATATTTTTGCAGGCTTTGCAACCCTCCACACAGTACTAAATCATGAGAAATCATCATACCGTACGGCTTAGGCTACTGTTAAAGGTTAAATTGGAGTAGTGGCTGAAACGCACACGGCATATTATTTTAAGTGGGTGATGGAACATTTTTTTAAAACGTTGAAGAGAGACACCCCTTTTTAAAGAAAATAACTTTGTATATAATACAGCACTATTATATACCATGATATTTAAGCTACAGTAAATACTGTTAGTAGCGGTTCTATTCTGATGAATATATGTGTATGTCTTTAATATATCTTACCTTGTACACAATTGTTCCTTGTACTTATACAAGGAACAAGGTCTCCCTGTATAAGGGCATTATTATTACTATTGTTATTATTAATAATAATAATTATTATTATTATTAATAATAATAATAACACTAACAATAATTATAGTAATAGTAATAATAATAACCCTGTTATTGAGAATTTTAGCATATTGAAATTCTCGTAAGCGAAACCATCTGAAGTTGGTCCCTGTTGCATTGCTCAGAGCTGTTCTTGAGCGACAAAGTTATCCAGGGGTTTTATTGCACCAGTGTGTATTTAAACGACCGGATTCCTTAATCACAATTTTCCCCTAAAAATACACGCCTACCACAATATTGTATATGTCATGTATGAACTAAACCATGCAGAAAATGCACAGGCAAACACACACTGGGTATATGCTATAAACAACCGTTTGTTATAAAGAAGTATTTGATGTACAATACAATGTAGGCGTAGGTAGTCTGTGATCCTTGCTTGGAAAATTTCTGTGTCTATCATAAATTTCGTTTCACGTTTAGCCTAGAGAGAGAGAAAACCGTAAAATGTTCCCTTCTCCCTATCGGATTGTGTAGTTAACAGACAGACCCCAGTATGAAGTAGGATATGATTGCGGTGGTAACTAGTGCCCATTTTTGGAATACAGATAGACATGCATGCTATACACCGATAATGGAAACTGGCTTTCTGACTCACTGCAGATGAGGATGGAGCCGAGAAAAGCGCACACATTTTAATAGCCAGCGTCTGTGATGCTTCATGCGCGCATATACATTGACATCTTTAAGCAGCCTACAGTACTTAGAAATGTTCTAACACGCGCCTGTACGTGTTTTTCTTTTTTATAGGGAGTGGAAAGGGATGGGAAGAGGTGTCCGGAGCTGCCACCAGAAATCGTGATCTCCCTTTTCTCTTTTCTTTTTCTTTCTTTTTTTTCGCCGTGGGAAGGAATTGTGATATGAAATGTGCGGAGTCGGTATACCGCTGGAGCGCTGGAAAAGCCTGAGTCCAGGAGATGTATGCGGAGTGAACAGTGAAGACGCGCCTTTCCAGAGCCTCGCGGCGAGGGCGCTCGGACATGCTGCAGACTGTGTCAGAGGCTTCAATATCTGTACCCAGCGTCTCCCTGCAACAATGCCGGGGTTCAAGCAACCTGTTATCTGCATCTAGACTGGGATGTTACTGCACTTCTGACGAGGACGAATAATACAAACGATGGCGTTATTCTTTCAGTGAGACGAACACCTTTGACGGCTGCTGCTGATTTGCCGTTAAACTCGGTTCAAATAACATTAAAGAATACGCTATCTAGATAAAGCAAATTAACCCAAAAACTTGGACCGACGTCCACGTTTGGATTTTTACGTTTCTCCTACTTGTGTTTCTTATGCTTTTGACCAGGAGATGCAAATGAACGAAAGCTCTCCTTCATTTCAGCTGACCGGATTGCCTTCCTCCTTAGATAACTTTTTAGTTTCTGGTTGATTTTTTATTATTTTTGTTCTCGCTAGTCATTGTTCTCGGAGGGATTTTCCGGAGGATTAGGCGACCTTTGGAATTGCCCACCGGGGGACTCGGGAGAATGCAGGCCGGTGTGAGAGCGCTGTGTGCCGGCAGCGGAGCGTCTCTCTGCTGCCTTCTCCTTCTCTGGGTCATCTACTCGCATTTACTGAAAGAAGGCAAGTGTCCCTTGTCTTAACGTGCTCTTATTGATGGTGAACAAGGACGATATTCTCTCCCTTTCCCCGTCTCGCCCTTTAAAAGTATCGTATCGTATCGGGCACTTTTTATTATTTGCTGTCAGTAGCTTAAAAAGAATGAGCTGCTTTAGTTTCAAAGTTACAGTAAATTTAGTAAGAGACAGTGCCAACAGAAAATGTCCGGACTCGCTAAACCGCACTGGAGCACCAGAAGTGCCCAGCGTCTTTATGCGCCGACTTCGGATTCCAGCACCGCATTCTTTAAGAGGTACCCTGTACCAACAAACAACAGATGCTTGAGTTTACTTTAAAATGTAATTTGTGAGCGAAACAATGATAACAATTAGTAGTGAAGTCTGTAGCTGATTGTGCAGTTCCAAGAAAGAGAATGAAACGCTACACCCTTCTCATTGTAATGCCAGATGAAAAACGAAACATAGCAGTCACTCCCTGTAGCAGACGGTAATAAGAAATGCGAGACTATATACATGGTGCGTGTACTAATTAAATCTAATTTACAGTTTGTTTTAATTTTTTAAAATGCATTTTACTGGTTGAACGACATAGCCCTTGCAGTTAATTAAGATCAGTCATATCAGTCACATCTCCGGCAGTCGTTAAAACAGTGCGTGAGCTTTAGTAATAAAGCTTATTACTAAACATTAGTTTACATTTTTACAATAGGCATTCTTTTCTTTTTGGCACGTCACAATAGTAATAAATTAGCATCTCATAAGGTATATAGAATGTAAAGAACGTGTATGCATATGTGTTTCTGTGTAGCGCAGAGCATGCTTTTATGAGTGTTTCTAAATCCAGGGTTTTGAGCAGTAGTCTGGGCTGCGGGAATGTTCCTGCGGTGTAGCCTTCTGGCTGTCAAAACGCCACAGAATGAGGGCGCTAGTGATCCAGGGAGCCTCTGATTGCAGCGTGGTTGTACTCGTCCATTTAAAGGCGTCCTGTTGCAGAGAGCCGAGGAGGTATTTCCTGCTTGTTTGGAAAGCACAGTAAGACGTTTTGCAAGAGGCTGATTTCAGTTCAACAGAGAAACTACTCAGGCTTCATTAGGCTCAGGTGTGTACGCCTACCCGTCTGTATCTACTCCATTGTGTACTCCATCATCATTAGTATGTTTGTAGTGCAATTTGTTAAAAGCTTTAATTTTTTTTACTAACCTACTTGCAATTATTTCAAGAGCATGAAACAACCCGAGCCTCTTTTACCTTTTTCTTCACTTTTGTTTTGTGTAGTATTTTATACAGAACGGTGCCAGTCTCAGCCTAGATCTTTCATCTTGGCGTTTTAACTTTGTACTGTATTTTACTTACCATGTTGAACACAAAAAGGAGGTGACTTACAGTACAGTATTTCTAATTCTGAAAAGTAGCGGCGTGGCGGAAACTTCTGGTGTTGGGGCGGGACAAAAAACGAGTCACACTGACATTTTTGTTATATCAACCCTTGTTTCTCAATTTCGGCTGAAACACACTCACCCCTGAAAAAGAAAGAACGAAAGTCAATATTTTAATATGGCAGGAGGGTGTGATGAGACTACAATAATAAAGTGCAGAAAGATTGTGAAAGGTTGTATCCAATGTTCTTCCATGTCTCCTCTGCGTGTAACAAGTAAACATTAGAATTTGCCTGAATATCTGCCCTGTGCGATGCATGCGATCTATGCTCCTTTTACTATGGCAGTATACTGTAATAGAAGGAGTCTGAGCAGCAGTTGGTAGTGTGAACCTGTTAAAAGGTGGAGTGCCTTCTAACATGAGCATAGCAGCTGGAGTCTTGGCGCTTATGAGCCTTTGCATTGGTGTAGAATCTGGGGAATAAAAAGTAACCAGGTTCCTTCTTGGAAAGGCTGCAGAAGCCGAAGCTCTATATGGAGCCGACAATCTCTCCCTTCAGGCAGTTCTTGGAACATGTTTGCGAGCCATTAACGATACATCATCACCTAAAGTATCTTTTATCTTGTCAATATGATGGAATTGCTCGTTCGTTTTCATGCTTGGTACAGTGTTTCAGACTCTACTTGATCCCTTCACATCACTTTCTGTCATCCCGGTTTATCTCCTGTGTTTTATGGTCATGCAGTGTTCAGAGAAGATGCGCAGCACCGGAGCAGCAAGAAACAGAAATAGTTTTATGAGAGATGTTGTGCACAGTGGTCACTTATGCCATGCAGCTCTCACAACACAACTGACAGCATGTCAGATTTACCTTTGCCAGCTGGTGGCTTAGTTGCAAGACAGATTCTTACAGTTGCAGAGATAGAAACCTTTAAGGAACATGCTATAAAATTAGTTGCCAGCATTTGAAAAATGTATTTAAATGAGTAACAGTTGAACAGTAATGGTCGCGATAATGTAGAAGTCATTGCTAAAATGAAGCAGTAGCAGGAACCATCCTTTGTTTTAAAACAAGGGCTTTACAAAGCAAATGGGAAAAAAGAAAATCCCTATTGATTGTAGTTTCCATTTGTGCTCAGTAGAAAGACTTGATTAGAAAGTTTAATATGTGAACCATCAAAGAGTTTTGCAAGGCAATAGGCTGGCTCGTTGATAGAATTCAGAAAGCTTTGCAGCTTGTCATTTTTTTTTATTCTTGTTGCATATTATTTTTTCCAAGGCTGTGTCTTTAGCATTTCAATTTGCATAGTGATTTTTCCTCCTCTTTGGTATTACGGCGAACACAAACGGAAAGCAAATCAGAGTACAGGGGTTCGCTCTTTTTTTCCCCCAACTTAAAAATGCAATAAAACTGAAAACAAAAAAGCCACTCTTTGAAGAATTCATCCTGTCTTCTGCTCTTTGAAAAGCACAAGGTATCAGATTAGATTTGAACATTCGTAGTCTTTCACGGTTTGGCATATTAAAGGATTGTGGTCAATCAGGAGAATGAATACTCATTGGGTTTATGCATGTTAAAAAGCAGGGAAAGTTTGATTGAAGTGAATTTGCCAAGCACGATGGGTATTAGTGCTCACCTTGTAGACGAATATGATTACATTTAGGATCCTTATCCAATGATAAACTCCAGTGGTGATAAAGGAACAAAGCAAAGATCAAAAGTGAAGCAAAAAGTATTATGATGTCCAATAAAGCCCCTTGATAATAAAATGGCTTAAAATGATCAATTTTAAACAGTACTTCAAACTACTGTTTCCAACCTTAGGCATCCTGAAGAGAGCTAAAGTGATGCAAACAGAACGTCTACACTTAATGTTGATAAACATATGTACTGTTTGAAAGCAGTAGTGTAACACAGTGGATACAGCTCTGGACTGGGTCATGGGTTCAAATCCCAAGTGGTGAGGCTGCTGCTGTGCCCTTGTTTTAAAGTACTTCACTCACAATTGCTATAGTAAGTGACCTGCTGTACAGATGGGGTCCTCACAAGGTCGTCATTGTAAATGAGAATCTGTTATAAATTGCATCAACAGACTTGACAAAGAGCTCAATGTTTCATGATTTTGTACCAACAATTCCTAGTACTTACATACAATTCAAGCCATAGGAGAGAGAGAGGACAGGTGAGGTTGTACAGCTCTTTTCTTCAGAGGTACCAGGATTTAAATCCTGGTGGCAACCATTTAAAGTAGCCAATCAATCCTGTCTGTGGGAGGTGAAAGAACACTGGAATACCCAGAGAAAACCCATGTAGAGAGGATTCCAAGACCAGAACTGAACACAAGAGCTGGTACTGAAATTGCAGCATCACTACCAACCATTCTAACATGTACTGTCTGCATATAATGGTCAAAAGATGAGTCAGTCGTTCAGTATTTCATTTCATTGTTCATTTTGTTTGAATCTTTCGATGCATATTTTCTGTGCTTCTAATTGCTCCTTTGGGAGATGACACTGTGCTTTGCTGCTGTTGTCAGTTAGGCGGCTTTTCAGAGTGCGATGAATGGACGAATTGTGTGGAATCGCAGCAGAATTGAATTCCACTCCTACTAAAAATGTGGTCATGGCACGGAGAGAGGTCAAGTGTGTGCTTTGGCTCATTCTCTTCTTCAGACTCATTCGATACAAGATTTTATTTCTCACAATGCCAAGGCCACTCATGTTCGATCCCATTCCCCAAGACAGAATTTAGAATTTAAAGTATAGTTAAGGTAAACACAGATCTGTCTGGTTAGCACTTAAAGGCAACAAAACTGGCTGAAGGTGTTTACATAACTCAAGTGTGATTTCTGATTAGGAGCTCGTCATTGTCCAAGCACTTTTCCCGAAAACAAACTTCTTTCATTACATTACCCTGTCTTTCATTACATAATTGAAAAACATGAGAGACATCGCTTAAAAGGTATTTTAATTTAAAAGGGAGATCTAAGTTTATATTTTGACATAGCAATGTAGCGTAAGAAACCCCATAGGTCTGACATGGAAAGTCTATGGCTGGGTTATTTCTGGGCAAGCTTAACCCAATTATCCTCAACTGGCCATCCAGGAGACAAGTATTGTGGGCTGATCAGTTAATTGGTTTGATCTTTTAAAACACCATTTAATGCTCTCTGCCATTTTCAAGAGTTACCCCCTCAGAGTGTAACTGACATTCTCTTAAAATGCAAATGGGCTGGTCACTATTGTTGCAAAGTCTTTAACTTAACAAGATTAAGAACTGACTTCTCAGGTGATATCGCTGTGCCTCTCTCTGACTGCAGACAGACCTGAACTGTGTTGGCCCAGATCAGAACATTGTCCCTGGTGTTTTGTGCAACAGGATAGAGAATCTAAAAGTATCTGTGTGTTTAGGAATGTACAGTATGTCACCTGCTGATTTAATTAAGAATCAATTCTGAAGTTCTGCAGAAGGCCCCTTGCACACTTTGTTGAGTTGTGATTTTGATTTCTGGACAGGTGGCACTGCACATCTGAACTTCAGATAAGCTTGAAACGCCAGGATGAAGGTAACCACAGTGCAGTCAAAGTGTCAGCTAAAAAGACAATGAATTCCTGCTGATGAGGGAA